CAAAAATGAAAATTAGCCCATTATTTACTCACCCTCAAGCCATCCTAGGTGTACATGACTTCCTTCTTTCAGATGAATCCAATCAGAGTTATATTAAAAATTGTCTTTATCTTCCAAGCTGTTTAATGGCAGTCAGCGGGTGTTGCAGTTCATCAGTCCAAAAGAAGTTAAATAAAGTGCATGCAGTCATAATAAAAAAGTGTCTCAAGGCCTCAAACAAAGGCCTCCTGTAGTGAATCGATGTGTTTTTGTAAGAAAAATATCCATATTCAAAATGTAATAATCACTTTAATATAGGTTGCGCCAACAGTTGTACACGGAAGCAGCTCCGGGCGGATGTCGTAAGATGTCGGCGTTGCGCATGCGCCAGTGAGTCTCGTGAAAACCAACGTTTGTTTATAGGAGCAAAGGAAGCAAAGTTTCCATACTTTAGCAAAGGAAAACCAGTCTTTTGAAATTTTTCTTACAAAAATTCATAATTTGCCTAATAAATCTGTGCTGTGTACTTTACCTGTGTGTGGATCTCGACACTAGTCATGTCAGTATATGGGGTTAACCCAGATTTTAACTGTTGCACTAGTTTGGTAAATTGAACACAGCAGTATCACGGCAGTAATGAAAACCGTTATCTACTTCATACAAATGATCATATTTGTCCTGTAATACTTAAAACTGTTTGTGGTATGCTGAAAACAATAAATATAATTACAATTTTAGGTTTTTACTTTACAAAAAAAATCCATAAATTAATGGAGACAGACAAAGCAGTTATAACATGATCTCTTTATTTACAAATTAGTATTTTCAAGTAGGTTTATGGCACTTTTCTAATGCAATTCATTTTAGACGTTACATTGTCCATTATTTTTAAGGCTATTTGTTAACATTTCATTCAATCTGGTTTTATGTACATTGTCTTATTGTATGTACATTGTAGATGATGACAAAGCAAGATGCATGTTTTTCTTTGGGGCTGTGTGATACCAACCTACTAAAACCATAGTAACAGAACTATGGACTGTTACAACAGCACTACAAAAACACAACAAAGGGAAAGACTATTGCCTTATATAGTGGTGGTCTTATTGTTTGTGGTCTTTGTGTTAAAAAAAACTTGGCTTTTAACATGTTCTAAACACCGTCGTCATCTGCACGCAAGTGATTCTGGGATATGGTAGGGTGCGAAGTGTCCATCAGATGTACACTTAATTTTCCTGGGAAACAGAGGGTGCATTTGACGTCGCTTTCGAATTACGTCAGCCTTCATCACGCCGCGGTGACGCAATCGGCCTTGGAATGCAGTCTTCGGAGGGTGCATCCTGAATTGGGACAGCTTACCTTAGTAATCCTGATTAGCTTGTTCAGGTGTGTTTGATTAGGGTTAGAGATAAACTCTGCAGGACAGCGGCACTCCAGGACCGACGTTGCCTATCCCTGCTATAGAAGGTATGCATGTGACGTCACCGTCAGCTGGAGTGAGTGCAGCTCCACCCACTGAGTGGCAAAAAGACTGAGTGGAAGCTTTGGTTATCATGTAATGTCAATATGTTGAATTTTGTGGTAAAGTTATACCCTATATTTTGTATTGACAACTCATCAATTAAATATTTACCAACTTATATTCTACATAACTGGATGTTTTTAAATAAACACTGACAAAAACTATATACGTTTTTGGACTGGACGATATGATAATATATATAAGTGATATAAGTGATCACCCGGATTTAGACCAACCTATTTTGTATTTTGCATTTACATAAAGCGTTCACAGGCAAATTTGCTTTATGTATTTCCCCGGCGTCGAAATCAAGCACATATAAATGTCAGGAAACACGATTCCTGGCTGCATGTCAATATCTATGGAGCACTGGATATTTGGTAAGTTGTAAATAACACTATATCGAGTTCAACAACCTTTAGTTTAAACTGATAATCATTTGTTTTATTCGCATTTGCGCAGTATTACATCCATTCATGCGGCAGGCTCTTTTGCCACTCAGTCCAGCTGAGGGGGAGTGTTCTGGTGGGAAAGTGATGTCAATGCATACCCTCTATATAAGCAGCTACTCCTCACATTCACATTGTCTGGTTTCATTGTTCCCTTGGAGCTGCATACCTGACTCACCTCAGTGTGGATACTTACCTCCCATCTGTCTGTCTGGTTCTACGTCTTTCTTCAAGTCCCGTCTGTCTGATCACCATTCACCTGCAAGGAAAATAACTCTTAAAGGGATAGATCACCCAAAAATGAAAATTAGCCCATTATTTACTCACCCTCAAGCCATCCTAGGTGTACATGACTTCCTTCTTTCAGATGAATCCAATCAGAGTTATATTAAAAATTGTCTTTATCTTCCAAGCTGTTTAATGGCAGTCAGCGGGTGTTGCAGTTCATCAGTCCAAAAGAAGTTAAATAAAGTGCATGCAGTCATAATAAAAAAGTGTCTCAAGGCCTCAAACAAAGGCCTCCTGTAGTGAATCGATGTGTTTTTGTAAGAAAAATATCCATATTCAAAATGTAATAATCACTTTAATCTAGCTTGCGCCAACAGTTGTACACGGAAGCAGCTCCGGGCGGATGTCGTAAGATGTCGGCGTTGCGCATGCGCCAGTGAGTCTCGTGAAAACCAACGTTTGTTTATAGGAGCAAAGGAAGCAAAGTTTCCATACTTTAGCAAAGGAAAACCAGTCTTTTGAAATTTTTCTTACAAAAATTCATAATTTGCCTAATAAATCTGTGCTGTGTACTTTACCTGTGTGTGGATCTCGACACTAGTCATGTCAGTATATGGGGTTAACCCAGATTTTAACTGTTGCACTAGTTTGGTAAATTGAACACAGCAGTATCACGGCAGTAATGAAAACCGTTATCTACTTCATACAAATGATCATATTTGTCCTGTAATACTTAAAACTGTTTGTGGTATGCTGAAAACAATAAATATAATTACAATTTTAGGTTTTTACTTTACAAAAAAAATCCATAAATTAATGGAGACAGACAAAGCAGTTATAACATGATCTCTTTATTTACAAATTAGTATTTTCAAGTAGGTTTATGGCACTTTTCTAATGCAATTCATTTTAGACGTTACATTGTCCATTATTTTTAAGGCTATTTGTTAACATTTCATTCAATCTGGTTTTATGTACATTGTCTTATTGTATGTACATTGTAGATGATGACAAAGCAAGATGCATGTTTTTCTTTGGGGCTGTGTGATACTAAATGATGAATCATGCAGGACAGACATATGACAGAAATGTTTTGACCTCATTAGCAACGATAACAGGTCCTGGGTGAATATTTTCACGTAGATAGTGACAGGAAGTCATCTGCCAGACATCTAAGTATATTACTCCATTAATATCTCTGAACATCTCTTGCATCACTGTGTTCAGCTGCATCGTATACCAATCACTTTGAAAAATATTCTGTAAGAACACAGATCAGAATCAGAATTCCATGCACACACAAGGAAGTTTTCTAGTAATGAAGCTTTCAGTGCTTCCAAGCTTCAAGACAAAAAAATCTACAACACCAATTCCAGAGAAGTTGGGACGTTTTGTAAAATGCAATAAAATCAAGAGTCAGTGTAACCCGCACAAGGTTACTGGAGTGCAACTCTCTACTGTGCCTGTGGGTGGCGCGTACACCCCAGGGAATTTACTATTAAATAAAACACGCTTTTCCTCCGGTGAAGACGCTACTAGAAAGCAACAAGGACTGATTGAAAGCTGTGAGAGAGAGAGTTAAGCTGCATGACAGCGAGCTTCTCAAGATACCTCCGATTGGTTTTAGAAAGGGATAGACCATCTGAATCTGACCCTGGTGGTCAGTGGCGAGCCAACTGCAGAAGTGAACGGACCAAGAGCCTGGTGTGGCCAGCCGTGGCATCTTTGGAACCATTATCATCCTGTGCCTTCATTTGAAATACAGATAAGAACACACGTAAACCTACCCGGGTAGTGAAAAGAACGTACATACTCCAAGACACACACACACCAAGAACTTTCTTGGACTCTTTCTTTATTTGAAGTTATTTATTTTGGGTTTATAGTGCGCTGTGCACTCAGGAAGCCGGCTTAGGTAGGCAGGGAATGTAAATAACTGCCATTCATTTTGTATAATACATTTCTCAAATCTACCTGTTTTGTGTTGTCTGTTCTCTGCTGACCTTTTACTATTTCAGGCTCCGTAGTCGTACCTAGAGGTTCTGATATTAGCCCAGATTTAATTCCTTACTACTTAAATTAGTTATCAGTTACACTAACCTGAGACACGGGTTACATCTGTGATTTGTTCATTCTCTTTAACTTTTATTTAATTGACAAAAGTACAAAGAAAACATTTCCAAAGTTTTCACTGACCAACGTAAATGTATTTTATAAATATGAACACATTTTGATTTTGATGGCTGCAACATACTCCAAAAAAGTTGAGACAGAGGCATGTTTAACACTGTCACATCAACTATCCTTTTAATTACAATGTTTCATTGTTTGGGAATTAAGGATACTAATTGTTAAAGTTTTGCAAGCACAATTTTTGTCCAGTCTCTCTTGAAACAAGGCTTCAGATGCTCAGCAGTCTGTGATTGTCGTTGTCTGATTCTCCTTTTCATGACTGGTCATACATTTTCAATAGGAGTCAGATCTGGACTGCAGGCAGGCCAGTCTAGCACATTCACTCTGAGTCTACAAAACCATGCTGTCGTAGCACATGCAGAATGAGAGCTGGCATTGTCTTGATCTAATAACCATGGACTTTCCATGAAAGACATCATATTGACGGCAGTGTATTTCTCTATACAACTCCAATATATGCCTCCATGTCAATGGTACCTTCACACAAATGCAAGTCACCCATGCCGTTTGCACTGATGCACTCATATACCATGACAGATATTTGCTTTTGCATCTGTCACTGATGAAACAGTCTGGATGGTCCCTTTGGTCTTTGGGACTGAGAACTCGAAATCCATTTTTCAGTGGCGAGCCAACCGCAGAAGTGAACGGACCAAGAGCCTGGTGTGGCCAGCCGTGGCATCTTTGGAACCATTATCATCCTGTGCCTTCATTTGAAATACAGATAAGAACACACGTAAACCTACCCGGGTAGTGAAAAGAACGTACATACTCCAAGACACACACACACCAAGAACTTTCTTGGACTCTTTCTTTATTTGAAGTTATTTATTTTGGGTTTATAGTGCGCTGTGCACTCAGGAAGCCGGCTTAGGTAGGCAGGGAATGTAAATAACTGCCATTCATTTTGTATAATACATTTCTCAAATCTACCTGTTTTGTGTTGTCTGTTCTCTGCTGACCTTTTACTATTTCAGGCTCCGTAGTCGTACCTAGAGGTTCTGATATTAGCCCAGATTTAATTCCTTACTACTTAAATTAGTTATCAGTTACACTAACCTGAGACACGGGTTACATCTGTGATTTGTTCATTCTCTTTAACTTTTATTTAATTGACAAAAGTACAAAGAAAACATTTCCAAAGTTTTCACTGACCAACGTAAATGTATTTTATAAATATGAACACATTTTGATTTTGATGGCTGCAACATACTCCAAAAAAGTTGAGACAGAGGCATGTTTAACACTGTCACATCAACTATCCTTTTAATTACAATGTTTCATTGTTTGGGAATTAAGGATACTAATTGTTAAAGTTTTGCAAGCACAATTTTTGTCCAGTCTCTCTTGAAACAAGGCTTCAGATGCTCAGCAGTCTGTGATTGTCGTTGTCTGATTCTCCTTTTCATGACTGGTCATACATTTTCAATCGGAGTCAGATCTGCACTGCAGGCAGCCAGTCTCTCTTGAAACAAGGCTTCAGATGCTCAGCAGTCTGTGATTGTCGTTGTCTGATTCTCCTTTTCATGACTGGTCATACATTTTCAATAGGAGTCAGATCTGGACTGCAGGCAGGCCAGTCTAGCACATTCACTCTGAGTCTACAAAACCATGCTGTCGTAGCACATGCAGAATGAGAGCTGGCATTGTCTTGATCTAATAACCATGGACTTTCCATGAAAGACATCATATTGACGGCAGTGTATTTCTCTATACAACTCCAATATATGCCTCCATGTCAATGGTACCTTCACACAAATGCAAGTCACCCATGCCGTTTGCACTGATGCACTCATATACCATGACAGATATTTGCTTTTGCATCTGTCACTGATGAAACAGTCTGGATGGTCCCTTTGGTCTTTGGGACTGAGAACTCGAAATCCATTTTTCCCAGAAACAAGTTGAAATGTGGCCTCATCTGAGTACAGCACACATTTTAACTGTCTTTTTGATTATCTGAGATGAGCTTTGGCCCAGAGAACCCGGCGGCATCACTGCATAGAATTGATGTATAGCTCTCCTAGAGCAGTGCTTCTCAAATTCCTTACTCCGGTCCGGATCCGGACCCGGAGGGAATTCAGTCCGGGCCGGCCTCCATTTCGTATTTCAAGAGCACTAATTATTTCCTACTTTGATAAACGCATGTTAAGTTCATTTGTTTAGTTTTTTTTTGTCTTTTTGGAGATGGTCCGAAATGAAAGCGAAGGCGAGATATTGGCTGTTTCTCAATTCCAAGAACGCAGAGAACGGTCTTGTGTTCTCGTGGAGACGAGAACACAGAGCGCATACTTGTGAGAATTGAGATGCGCTGTGTTCCTGCTGCTCAACTGACAGCCAGTGCGTTATAAGGAGCGAGACAGCAGCACACGTCACGATATCAGTCAGCTCTCATGGACTGCATTTCCCACAAGCCCAGCACCTGGAACTAATTACACACACACACACCTGTTGTTTATCTATAAAGGTTTCTCTCACACACACACTCACTGCGAAGTATTGATTATGTTGATGATTGTCTGTCTGTTTGCTACTGCTCCATGCCTAGCGATTCCTGAGCCTAATCTGTCTGTTCCTGTGTTTTGACCTTCTGCCTTTGTTTGACTTTGCTGTGACATTAAAGCTGCACTTGGATTCGACCCTGCCTTCTCGTATCCTTCCTTCCGTAACAGAATACTTCGCCACTGAGGATCCAGCAGCCGTGTCTGGCCGCTCCGATTGAGGATGGAGTTGGCAAAAGAACTGGTCCGTCTACGACAGGGAGCACAAACCCTTGAGGACCATATCCAGACCTTTATAGACATTGCACACTATGCAGACCTGCCGGATTTTATGCTGATTTACTTTTTTGCTCATGGACTAAATGAGCCACTAAAAGCTCACCTTGTCCGGGATGGTCCTTGTGGATCACTGGCCCAATGTATGGATTGTGCTTCTGGTGTCTGGATCTTCATTCACTGTGGGTGAGGCCGATCCCGTTCCTGTAATGGCGGCCCTTGCAGAGATTCATCCCGTCGCAGCTAAGGAACCAGAGCCGTGTCCGTCCACGGCTGTTCCCCTTGAATTGACCACAAAACGGCCGAGGTTGGTCTCCAGTGTGGAGGATCCCCCGTTGAGATTGGTGCGAGCGGCTGGTCTGTCCGTGTTCTCAGCGCTGGTAACCCCTCTAAGCTCAGCGGCCGCCATTGCTGCAGAACCTGTCAGGGAAATGGCATATGCTCCAGCTCCCCTCACGGTGGTGAGTCCTATTCCTGAACTGTCTGCTTGTCTGAATTCTGCGGTTAACTCTGATTGTGAACTGTCTGCTTAACTGAATTCTACAGATAACTCTGATTTTGATCTGTCTGCCCATCCTGTCAAGACTACGGAGGTTGTTTGTGAGCTCACTGACCGTCCTGTAATGGCTATGGAGGCTGCCTGTGAACTCAACTCCTGTCCTGTCACTGCTATGGAGGCCGTTTATGAGCTCTTTGCCTGTCCTGTCATGGCTAAGGAGGCCGAGTATGAACTTTTCGCCTGTTCATTTGTGGATAAAAATACTAATTATGAAGCTGTGTTCCCTTTTGTCCCACCCAACCTCCCTCTCCCTCCTCCTCTGCCAGTCATGCTCTTTGTCTTGTCTCCGCTGTTCCTTAGGTCATCCGTCAGGGGTGGTTAGCGGTCAGGATTTGCCTCGGGACATTCAGCCTCCAGCCGCACCAGGGTTGGAGGATCCCAGATCTCTGGTTTCGGCCTTCGAGGCCTGGACTCCACTTCGGTCCTTCGATCCGTTGATGGGAGCCTTGGCTCAAAGCTCCCTTGTCTCCACCGTGGTCCATCAGTCCACCAGCTCCGCCGGGCTTCCTCATCCCGTCAGCTCCGCCTTGGTCGTTCATCGACCTGCCCTCGCCTCAGGACTACACTCCTCCGGCTTTGCCTCGTCCCTCCGTCTCTCCGGCTCCGTTGGGCTCCTCTCTCCCTCCGGCTCCGCCTTGGTCCTCGGTCACTCCAACTCCACCATGGCCTTCCGGATCCCCGTTTGCGCCTCGGTCGCCAGAGCCGTCGGCTCCATGACGGCCCTCCGAACACTCAGTGTCACCCCAGCTCTACGGCGCTCCACCTCCACCTTGGGCTCCCCTTCCCTCGGTTCCGTCTCCATCAGTCGGAACTCTAGTCTCTCCATCATGGTTCCTCCCGCCGTCGACTCCACCATGGACTATGAATTGGAAATTCTGGTTTGAGCGTCTGGAAGTCACTCTTAGGCGTGGGGCACTGTCACGATATCAGTCAGCTCTCACTATGGACTACATTTCCCACAAGCCCCGCACCTGGAACTAATTACACACACACACCTGTTGTCTATCCGGAGCACTATAAAGGTTGCTCTCACACACACACTCACTGCGAAGTGTTGATTATGTTGATGATTGTCTGTCTGTTCGCTACTGCTCCGTGCCTAGCAATTGCTGAGTCTAATCTGTCGGTTCCTGTGTTTTGACCTACTGCCTTTGTTTGACCTCTCTGTGACATTAAAGCTGCACTTGGATCCAACCCTGCCTTCTCGTATCCTTCCTTCCGTAACAACACAATGCAAAATAAATAACACATAACATCACAAACGAATGTCATAACACTTTTTAAGTATTTCATTTTACTATAGACAATATTTTCATATTATGCAATAGCTTTTTACCTAATGTATTTGTAAAAATGATTAGGCTATTTATAATGTTACATATTTTATTGCTAATGTTAAAATTCTTTTTAATATGCTTTATCATTACTTAAAAATTATGCAAAACAAAATGACAAATGTTTACTTTAACAAGCCGTCACGTATTTGCGAGCTGCAGCAGTAATCTGTCAAGCGAGAACGAGAAGTTTAAAGTTTACAGGCTTCTGTACGTCGTCCGCACGCAGCGTCTTCTGGGATTTCTAACGGTTCGATTCTCTTAAGTCTGCATTCGATGCATCCTCGATTTCAAGAACACATCAGGGTACTTTCATGCGTCCTCTGGACTTGCGTTCAGTTAATGATGACGTAGAGCGAGAACACAAGGACGCAAGATCGCATAAGAACGCATATTGAGAAACGGCCATTGAAACTTTTCTATCATGACATTTGTTATCATGACATCCAGTGAGCGTATGACGTTTGACATAATCGGGCGACATTTCACCGCTAACCGTATTTCACCGTATTTTTATTTTTTGTTATCACTTAGATCAGTGATCCTCAAATCTGGCTCGCGAGATCCACTTTCCTGCAGAGTTTAGCTCTAACCCTAAACAAACACACCTAGTTTGCTAATCAATGTCTTCAGGATCATTAGAAAATCACAGGTAGGTTTGTTTGATTAAAGCTGGAGCTAAACTCTGCAGGAAAGTGGATCTCGCGAGCCAGATTTGAGGATCACTGACTTAGATTATGGCCAATTGACTTATAGCAGTGTCCAGTGTTTCCCATACATTGAGTTATTTGTGGTGGCCCGTCACAATATCAAAACTGACCGCCACAAATAGATTTTCCAAAAGGATTCTACTTCGTTGAATAAACTGAAAAATTAAAATGCAGCGCGGGTGTTTTTATATGAATGTATCATTGAAAAGAACCTTCATAAAAGCTTTGAAGTCATTTTCATTTCCTCTTTCCTAGCATTTGTGAGCACAGCGCTTTTTTGATTACAGCCATTACCGGGGAAACCGCTATATCTGCACTCCAATAAGTGCCTCCTGCTGGCAGAGAATGAATTTGCTTTTGCTAGTCTGTGGGAAACACTGGTGTCTGTCAACAAACATGAACAAAAAGCATGCTTCAGATCTGTTTTGAGAAAGTGTTTTGAGCCATGTATTATTACTATGAATTAGGCTACTACTATTACTAATACTATCGCCATCTTGTGCCCTGCAATAATCATTTACGCAAACTCACTTTTATGAGATAAAGGGAAATAAATAAATAAAATCGTCCAAACATATCGGCCAAAAAAAATCAGCATCATACATCGGCCATCGGCTGCCCTGATTTTTAAATATTGGCACCAGCCAGAGAAAAACCCTTCGGTCAACCTCTATTGCTGACACTTATATTAATTGTTTTGCCACTTTTGCACTTGTTATTAATGTATTTTGAAAGTCACTTTATTAAAAAAATTTATTAATGTTTATTTGTTATGCATGTTATGTATGTTTATTAAAAACAAGTTTTGTATTAACCAATTGTTCCGGTCCGGACCTTTGACACTGATGAAAATTCAGATTTGGACAGATTTGAATGTAGACTTTGAGAACCTCTGTCCTAGAGTAACAGAGATTCAAGTTGCATTTCTTGATGCAACAGCAGACTGTGGTAAATGACAGTGGTTTTCTGAAGTACTCCTGAGCCCATGTGGCTATATTTAACACCGCAGCATGACGGTTTCTTATGCAATGTCATCTGAGGGCTCAAAGGTCAAGCACATTCAACTGAGGTTTCCTGCCTTGCCCTACATGTCCTGTGATTTCTCTGGATTCCCTGAAACTTTTCACAATATTACGTGTGGTAGTTGGTGAAAGACCTAAATTCTTTGCAATTTTGCATTGCGAAATGTGATTTTTGATTTGTTTGACACTTCTCTCATGAAATTTGGCACAAAGTTAAAGAGAATGAACAAATGACAGATTCTTGATTTGATTAAATTTTTACAAATGTCCCAACTTCTCTAGAATTGGGGTTGTAAATGTATAAAGACATAGTTAGGTTGAGACAGAAGAAACATGTTTAGATGCAAATATCAGTAAAAAATTATAACCTGGATTAAGCAAAATTGATTAATTAATTACCTGGATTAAGCAAAATTGGTTTGGACAAACTGTATTTTTTATTTATTGCTACTGTGGCTACTGGACATAAACTGATCAGCCACAATTTTACATCAATTGAAAAAAGAAAAATTGGAATGTTGCATAAAATATTCTGAAATGCATCTTTGTGCAACAGGGTTTCTAGAGTTTAAAATGTAAAGGCAGCATAACAAATGCACCATATTTTCTTGTTTACCATAAACATTAACATAAGTGAATTGAAGTGTCCAAGTATACCTTTCGTCCTGCAGTGTTTCCAGACTTGATAATGACAGTAGTCTGTGGTGCACGACTCAGCAGCGCTACAACAGACTGACGGATTTTAGCCACTTCATGCACATAAAAAGCTAATGGGTGAAAAACCCGGTGGGCAAAGAATGTGAAGACAACGACTGCATGAGAATCACCAGCAATTTCATCAATATCATTGCTGATATAATGCAGGTTGGTAATGAGCAATTTACTAAATCGTAAAGGAACACCATGTGGCCTCCAGTGAATAATGATATTATTTTTCAATTCCACAGCCATCAGGGGTCCACCTGTACGAGGAGTGTGGAGGTCCATTCTTTTTAAATCTAAAAAAAGATAAGCAAAACTTACATTAGACTCATTACTTTATTAATTGCTTAAACAGCAGTCCCAAGAAGTATACTGGCAAATAAGGAATAGTTCACCCAGAAATCACCCATTTACTTTCCTTCATGTCATTTCAAAACTGTTTGGCTTTCCTTCTTTTTCAGAACACAGACAAAAAATATATTTTGACAAACTCGTCAATTTTCTTTTTTTATATAATGAAAGTCAACGGGGTCCAATGTTGTTCTGGATACCATTGACTTTCACTATTAGAAGAAAAATAAATAAATATAGGAAGTTTGGAACAACAAATAAATAAATTACTAATAATGTTATGTAATGTTATGGCAGAATTTACATTTTTGGTGCACTATATCTTTTTGAGCGACGCTGAAATATGTACATGTCGGAACAAACTTTCATAAGCCATTTTTGTAATGGCATTTTGCAAGTTTAAAACCTAAATGTTTTGCTTGAAAAGTGTGCTAGATTGTTTGATACTTTTGGACTTTCCATATACTTCTATTACTTTTATACTGAACAAATTATATTTTCTATCCCCTAACCCTAAACCTAAACCTACCCCTTACAGGAAACCTGTTTGCATTGTTACACTTTCAGATAAACATCATTAATATTCGTGGGGACCGCAGGCCCCTACAATGTCAAAAATATCAGGTTTTACTATCCTTGTGGGGACATTGGGTCCCCTCAATGTAGCATAAACAAGTACACACACACACACACACATTATTAATTAAATATTTTTCTTAAAGGGGTCATCGGATGCAAAACTCACTTTTACATGTTGTTTGAACAGCAGTGTGTGTACACAACCACCCTATAATGATACAAATCCAATGATAAAAATCAAGTGGTATTTTTTAATCTCTATAAATAATATCCCCTTTTTCAAATCAAGCCATTCCCAGCTTCTTGGCTGTATGACATCACACAGACCAAGAACGCTCCCACGGTAGTTGATTGACCCGGCCGTCTTACCTTAGACCTGCCCCGAGTGAGCTGTGAACAGTCTGTCCGCCATTATTTCGACACCGGAGAATGGGGCGTAGACAAGAATGGCTCCTAAGCGATTGAGGTGTTCTGTTGTTGGATGTAATAATGAAAATAGCAGTTGTCATTTACTCCCGACATCTGAGCCGCTGAAAGATGCAAAGGATTAACGTTACTTTTGTTTTTGAAGGGAATGCCCCCTCCGATCTACCTAAATGCGTCTATGTTCGTGTGAATCATTCATGATCCAGCTTCAGATGAAGTGAGTATAAGGGTTTTTTATGAAACTTTGCAAATCGCCTTTCCTATAAATGTGCGAGTTAGCAAGTTTTGCGGCTAAATGCAGCTAAATGCGGCTAAAGTAAACAGGACAGCTCGTCACTCCACAGAAGAGAGGGGCAGGGTGAGCAGAGCTCATTAGCATTTAAAGGGAAATTGCAACAAAACGGGTTGCTGTGAAAAGAGCTGATTTTAAAGGGTCATGAAACCCCCGTTTCAGCACTGGTTAGTTCTCACCACAGTTGAAAAAAAACGCTAAAAAAGTGGGTGTGGTGCGCTGAGGAACGGAGGGGAAAGAGGGGAGACAGACAGCACAGACAGCTTCGGTTTCAGACAGTTTAATTTCACTCCCATCGAGTTAATAAATGCACAAATAAATGCACAGCCATTTGCACTCTGCATTGAAAACATATGTATGAACGCGCTGTTGCACCTCTGATAACTTTAGGCTTATTCTGCGGCGTTTATATAAGCCTTTTGACGGGTGTCACAGAGCTGTAAAAACGGTTACACGGTTACATGAATCGCGTTTGTGCTGAACTCTTAAACACCCTTCGATGAATGTTTCTCTCAGTTAATGTGC